CTTACTGGCTTTCTGCAGAAAGCTCCAACTGAAAGCTTCTACCTGCCGAAAGTTCCTAAAAAGCTAGTAAGTAGAACTTTTATTTACTTATTCTTTATTCTTATTTTATCAAACGGCTGAACCACATTGGTTTGGACCAATCAGCTTCTTGTGAGGGAGGAGCTACGGAGAAGCTTTGGTTCCTGCAAGGGTGACTTTTATGCACAAATTCTCCTCACAAAGACGACAACAGTCTTCTACCTACGTGCTGCGGATTGTTGTTGTTTCCTCTTCGCCGCCCTCCTACTACGTCATATGACAGACAGATGGTTCATCCAATCACCTGCCATCTGCGAAGCCTTCGCAGATGGTTCTGAGGCAACAAACCATCTGGCACGTCAGGTCACAAGAATAACCTTTAACATGCAAAACTATATCCAAAGTTGTGGAACTTGGGGGGGGGGCTCAGAGGTCTGGGACTCATAGTGGGTTAGTCCAGCCATGCATGTATGAAGCATTTCATGTAAGATATAACACAATTCATTTTACATTTGGTCTTGCATACATTTACCAGATGGTAATGACCTTTTCTGACTGTTTTTGGGTTTCTTCTAGCGGAGGTCTTTTTCTGTATCATTTCTCATCTCTTTGTAAAAAATGTGAAAAGTTTCATTTTGTCTTTTAACTGTGGGACCTGTGTCTCTAATTCCTGCACATTCCCTGGCTTTGGTAATTAAAGAGTTTCTGATTTTGGCTCTGAGCTTCAGACAAATGGCCTTGAACAGAGAAACAAAGACTTCAGTGTGGACTAATGAAGCCTCCTCTGCTGACACGTCTCCATCCATCTGTGAACTAACTGTTGGGTACGAAAACACAAGTGAAGGACGACAACAGAGGCCACGGTGGAGGCAACATTACATTTACATTTACTCATTTATCAGAAGCTCTTATCCAAAGTGATTTACCAGTGAGGGACAACAAGTACAAGTACTACATCTATTCAGCAAGTTAGGGAGATCAGGGAAAGAGGTGCAGCCAACGTGCGTGGGAAGTGCTAGTTAGGCACATTAGGGTCTTCAAGGACCTGTTCAGACCTGGTATTAACATGCGTCTTCAGCGATCCGATCACAAGTGGTCAGCTCTCAGTTCGTCATTTCACACCTGACTTTAAAATGCCGCTCCACATGTGTCTCCATTGATCGGATCTCACTTCCTGCTTTATATGCAAATAAACAGGTATGCAATGTTGTTTTTAGCCAATCGGACAGACGGGTCCACTGTCGATGTGCTTGTGTGTGTGAGTTAGAGAGAGACAGCGGGGCATGGAGGGGCTGAATGAATCATTGCTCTGCTCACAGCTCCACAATGAAAAAAGGTCTCATCTATTTGAAATGGAAAAATATTTTCCGTTCATTATGAAGCTGTGTTGGGACTAATCAGACTCTGACAGAGGACGTCAGTAGAGTAGCTGGTCCTTCAGTGTGGACCAGGACACATTCATGTTCACACTGCTAAAAGAACTGGCCACATGTGGTCCACACCACCTCCAAATGTGCTCTGAGTGATCAGATCGCCAATGCGTCCTCGATGCATCTTGATGTGCTCACACCTGAGCTTAGAGGTGAACACTTGTGATCGGATCACCTGAGACGGATGTTAATACCTGGTCTGAACAGGGCCCAAGAGTTTCCTGTGGATATAAAGGGACGCTCCTGCTCTGACAGCATTCAGTAGATAGTTCCACCATCAGGGAACCACAGACTAGAACAATTTGGACTCAGATAGTCTTATGTGCAGGGAGGGCGATGTCAGACGACACTCCTTGAAGGAACACAGTGTCAGGCGGCCATGGGTAGCCAGTGGAGGTTTGATGAGTCACGGAATGACGCGTGCCCTTTTAGGCTAACCAGATGGGCTGCTGCATTCTGGACCATCTGTTAGGGTTTCACTGTGCGGGAAGGGAGGCCTGACAGTAGAGTGAGAGATAACCGTGGCCTGGACCAAGAGCTTGGTGGCATAGTGAGTCAGGTAAGACCTGAACAGAGAGAATGTAACAGAGGAGAGATGTGAGAGTTCACTCTAAAAAAAAAAAAAAACATTTCAAAAGCATCAAACTGGCTCACGGGATAATGAGGGAAATAAAAGAAAATGAGAGTAATCTTGTTTCCATTGTTTTTGTTCCAAGCTCTTCAAACCCAGAGCACTAACCAAGACATTTTTATGATCCAGAATCTGTACATAAATCTGATCAGGGAACTCAATGAGGAAGAAAACAGGCAGCATATTGGAAAGATAGATGAGGTACAGGTTTCCTTGGCGCAACCGTTGGCTGTATGTGCAGCACATCTGGCTCGGCAGGCTCTAAACACCTGACGTATGAACTCCCCCGTGTGTCTGACTCAGTGGCTTCATGTGTCTGAGTGTGGACTGATGAGTGCCTCTGTTATTGAGATGGAGTGGAAGAGGAGGAGGAGGAGGAGGAGGAGGCACTTCTCGCTGTCGCAGGCTGCCCATTTCTGGTGATAAAGTTAACTGGCAGATGCATTTGGAGACAGCGAACGCCTGGCAGCGCAGACAGGAGAGGAGCACTCTGCTGACACACAGTTATACTCAAGTCACACACACACACACACACACACACACACCAGGTAGGGTAAAACAGAAGAACTGTTGTGTTGTAATAGGAATAAGAGTGAGATGACAGGTGATTTATGTTGCATGTTTCTAGTGAACATGTGATTCTTAGTTGAGTAGAAACATGAAACTTTCCTGGTTGAATCATCAGCAGAAAGACGAATAGTTGTTGTGCTGGAAAATATCTGGAGAGAAGCCAAGTGCAACTCCCAAGTTGCATTTCAGTAGCCAGCATCCAATCACAAAGTGTGTGTGTGCAGCTAACAGTGAGCTAAAGCTAACGCTAATCACTTTGATTTAACTGGTTCATTAAGTTTCTGCAGTTAAAGACCTGTTCACTTTCACATTCTGCATCAGTTTAGGATGAATTTAACCACGTTTTGTTCCCACGGTTACGACAAAGTGTTGAATTTGATAGAATTCAATAGCTTCAGTGGAGGTTGCGGCTCTACTGAAGCAGCTGCCATCTTTCTTTCAACCACAACCTGTTGAGCTCGATGTCGGTGTTGTTCTGAAAACATCTCAAACAAACTCACTGAACTGATGATTACAGAACAAACACACACGCTTAGTTTTCCTCTGCCACGGTGTAAAACCAAACCCAGACATTAAACGCAACATCTCAGCTTTGTAAACGGCGCCATGATGAAGATGTAATTAACAGCTCTCACCCAAAGGCACAACCCCCTCTTCACCCCCCCCCAACCCACCCTCCAACATCCCACCTCTACTACCTGTCTCTGCATCCGCTCTCCTCCTCTGTCAGAGTCTAAATACCACACATAAATAATGCAAAAGCTTTCACATCTAAGCCCTCAGCTCGGTTTCCTGCTCAGATGAGCCGCCAACAATGGAAAGGACAAGAGGCTCAGAACAGGAGGCATGGAGGAAGGAGAGGAAAAAAAAAAAACTTTGGGTTCACCTTCAGAAGACTTGGAAGGAGAAATGGGGCTGACATTTGCTGGCGGCTTATAGAGGCTAATAATAATTGGCAGATATGTTATAGAGCCATTTCCACTGCCAGTGTAAAAGTTAAATTACGTATTTAACCACCAACATCAACCTCTGGGCTGCAGCTGAGTGATGTGTTTTATGTCTTTGTCGCGTGCGTGCGTGCGTGCGTGCGTGCGTGCGTGCGTGCGTGCGTGCGTGCGTGCGTGCGTGCGTGCGTGCGTGCGTGCGTGCGTGCGTGCGTGCGGTATGAATTGCAGCTTTATGTTAATGTCATTATGTCTTTAGGATCACAAGGAAAAATCTCAACATTCCTCTTCTTCTGAAGCTGCATTTAAAATTAACAACCTCCACAAATACAGAACCTAAATAATAAGTAAATACATTAAAGTATAACAGGCTGCTGTGTAACTTTATGAGCTCATATTCAGGGAGGTAAACCACTGCACAGGACTATTAGATAAACAGGAAGACACAGTCAGTTTAATAATTTGACGAGAAAAAGAGCAAAGCAGTTTTCAAGGTTTCATGCAGTGTATTACAGCAGGAAGACGTTACACTGAAAATGAAACGAAAACAACCTTAAGGTAAAATGAGCAGAGGCAGCAGCCACATATTTATTAAGTGAGGCTACTGTTTACCCAATCACCTCAGAGCCTGAGCATGTTTGAAGCTGGGAAAAGAAGAAGAAAAAGTGAGTTGCGGATGTGTGAGGAAAATCAGTGTTAAAAGATCCATATAGTCTAAAGGCAGATGTCCGTGTGTTGTTTGATCATAAAGCAGGTCTATGTTCTATATTAATACTGTGAAAGTATCAAAGCCTCAGTCCACAGAGAAATGCACACAGCCTGTATTCAGATACTGAGCCTTAAAACCAGCTGTCAGGACTTCTGGAACTTTGTGATGTCACAACAAAGCAGTCACCAAACCCCGCCCACCTGGATCCACTGTCCAAACTTGCAGGATTTGGTTTCTCTGAGTGTTTACCTGAAATCTGCTATATTTTTATTGGATCACTCAGAAAACAGTCAGCCAACCAGAAGAGAGGCTCTGAGCATCCTCTCTTCTGATTGGCTGACTGACCTGTTGTTACTAGAGCTCCAGAGAGAAGCCTGAGAGAGGAGATGTAAAACTACAATGAGGTTGTGGTTTTTGGTTCTTAAAACTACAAGTATATCTTCTTATGGATCAACACTTCAAATAAAACACTGGAGAAGAGAAATATATGGAGCTTTAAAAAGGTAACTACAGGTCTGTGAACTGTGGAAATGTATGTGAATCCATGTTACAGCACATCTCAACAGACAAGCAGAAAAACACAAGCAGTGCTGATGGTCAAATCCTAACTTACAGATGGGCATGTTTTATTACATAATATGGTCTAAAGTAGCCACCACGGCTAACCCCCTTCACAGCTTCTGACTAGAGCGTCTTACCGAGTTGGTTCCAAGGACCTGCAGGTCCGGCTCTCTGGACTCCAGCAGCTTGGCGACCATGTGCAGGAAACTCTCCACGAAGGGTTTGATGCTCTGAGAGTGACAGGCCATCAGCAGCTGGTCCAGAGCCTCCATGGCTATCACCACGTACCTGAGAACAAGTGATCAGGGCGCTTTAAGCTCAATCACACACAAAGTCCTTTTTTTCCTCAGACAGGTCAGAGGTCAGGTTTATGTGTGATGCAACCAGCTATTTAGCTACTTAATTGTTATTTACTTTGTTGGTCTTTTTAAAAAAGAAAGAGAGACACAATCTCCTTTTTAAAAATGACTAAAACAGAAGAACCATTTCACCAGAGTATGTCTGTACTGAAGCCAACTCATTAAACTAGTGTTAATTAGCTGCTGTTGACTAAATTTGCCAGTGATTGATTTTCCCCGGCTGCTCGACTGTAAATCAGTGTCACTGCACGCTGCATTCAGCTGCTAACAGACACAATAATTTCATAAACACAAGTGTGAAAGTTCATATAAGGGCTGGGACGATTATCCGACGTAATCGATGTTGTCGATTATAAAAATTATTCGACGTGGAATTTTAGTGTCGACGTGTCGTGTAAAACCACACAGGGTAAATGTTCATAGAACAAAACCGGGACTTTCTAATGGGACCGTTTATATCCATCGTCTTTGGTTTACCCGGATACAAGCGCAGCGCAAGGGCTGGGACAACACGGTGACGTAATTGAAGTCATTGACTACGTGAATGATTTGCGTCTGTGTAATCTATTTGAACAACATGGCGGCGTCTACCAGCAGTACGACGGAGCGTGTGGAGCAACACGCGGCAAAAAAGGCTCACACACGGTCCTGCAAATTTGGGAATACTTTAATCTTGACACCAACAGTGCGGTAGTCTGCAGACTCTGCAAAGTGCATCTTCATTTGTGTGTGTGTGTGTTGGACGGGGCAAATTGTTATATTAAATGACTAACTGGAAAATAATTGCAATAAAATTACTGTTAGGTTAATAAAAAAATAATAATCGTTAGATTAATAATCGTTTAAAGAATAATCGTTTGGGACAGCCCTAGTTCACATGATAAAAAAAAAGAAAGAAAAATGTACATTCTTCCAACATTAGTTGCTTTTGAAAATGACAATCAGTCCGACATCTGTGTTGACTTTGAAAAATCTTATCCGCCTGCTGAACTTGATAGTCATTATCACTATCAGCTGAAGTGTTTTAGCAGAACATGAACAGTGAAGATGACCTTTGACCTTCTGGATATAAAATGTCATCACTTCATCATTTTATCCTTGTAGAAAATTTGTGTAAAATTGTGTCATAATTAGTGTATGAATTCTTGAGTCATGGCCAAAAACCTGATTTGTGAGGTCACAGTGACCTTTGACCACCAAAACAGTTCATTCTTGAGTCCAAGTGAATGTTTGTACCAGATTTGGAGATGTTACTGAGACATCACGTTCATGAGAATGAGACTGACGACCTGAGAACATGACGTCTCCGGCCACAGCTGTCAGCGTCCCGTATCTGGGTTTGATATCTTGGACGAATAAAGAGCGTGTGCTGTACATTTAATGACATGAACTTCTAGGAGCAGTTTATATCAGTTTGCTCCATCTGGGAGGCGAAAGCTTTGCCAGATATAAAAAAAAAAGCCTCGGGGGTTTGAGTGACCCAACGAACCCGAGCATGTGGACACGTCACTTCGTTGGACGGACAGCGTTTGTCAGACGAAGCCGCGCGATTCTGTAACGAAACGCGGGCGAGTACAGATGGAGGAGAGAGAGAGAGAGAGAGAGAGAGAGAGACGTTTTCACTGTGACTGTCGGCTTCTGGGAATAAAAATCACAGCCAATTAAACATGGTTTCTGACTTTATAATCACTGCATTGATTTGGTGCTGCCAGTCGTCTTTCAGAAATACATGAGGGACGTTTTTATCTTTCCACTCATTTTAAGAGCAGGAAGCGCTAAATGGTTTAAAAATTCACAGAACCCATTCTGATTAACTGATGTTTTTTGAATGCATAACATTCATTTTGCAGATGACGACTTTATCCAAAGCCAGTAAGAGGTATTTGGTCTGCCTATGACAGAAAGAGCCGGGGGTCGAACCATCGACCGACCATTTGAAGGCCGACCCACTATTCTACCTGGGCATTTTGCAGTTTGCCGTTTGGTGGTGGCAGACATGAAATAAAAACCATTTGAGAGCCTAAACCTTTGGTTTTGATTGTAAATCATTCTCTTTACTCCAAGGTTCATTTCTAAAAAAAAAAAAAAAATCAATAAACGTTAAAAAGAAGTTGAACTGAACTGAGAATGTTGACAACTGTGCTTGTTTTTCCAGCCATATCCAGTTTCAAAGGCAAAGGTTGTGATTAATAATAAATGTCAAGGGTTTAAGCTCTTAAATGGTCTTTATTTCATGTTTCTATCTAGTTCGGAGGCTGAGAAATCAAGATTTCAGCGCATGTCAGGTTTTTCATAAAGCCCTGAGGTTTTAGGAGGCCGTGTTCAAACGGTGTTGAGGTGTTAGAAGACGCCTTAGATCTCCATGGGCTAACTGCAGCTGTTTTGTTCCTCTATGACAGGGATGCCAGGGTGAAATTGGTCAGGGGGCCAGATTTTTTTCAAGTGAGACCTCAGCGGGCCGAATTACACTTTCGAACTGAAAAGACCAAACACTGACTCAACATCACTGTTTGAAATTATTCATTAAGGCCTACATATCAAAAAGAAATTGCATTGGCACCCCAATAGCCTCACAATGAGGCCTACAATTGCATAGAAGCCTAAAGCAAGTCACAGTACCCTCTGAAAACGTAACATTGTCCTATCCATGCTAGGGCTGTCAAAACTGCTCAAAAATGACGTTTGAATATTCCCTCTAAAAAACACATATTCAAACTATTTGAATATCTATTTTATTCAATGACGCGCATCACATCAATACCAGGACAAACTAATACAATGAGATATAACTACTGTATAGGTAGGCTAGTTCATTTAAGTTTAAACATATTTGACAACATATTACCTACATAAAAATAACATGAACTAATGGCCAAGACCGCAGAGCTCACTCTAGCTCTAACACTCCTCGGTGGCACTCTCTCTCTCTCTCTCTCGCTCTCTCTCTCTCTCTCTCGCTCGCCCCCTCACGCTCTCTGTGCATACTAGTTTAAATGAACAACAACAATAAACAAATGCTGAGTGCTGATCAAAAGTTTTGTGCAAGCAATGTAAGCTTAGGGATGGGCGATGTCTCCTAGGCTATATCGTCCGCGCGCGAGGGGAGGAGGGGGGGCTCACTGCGCTGTTTGTCTCCCGCTCCGTGCTCAAAGTCACACCAGGCAGTCTATGCAACTGACGGGTTCCACGAAAATTAAAATAAAAAATAAAACATTAGATTTAAATAAAAATAAAACTCTCCCATATCAACCCACGGGCCGGGTGTGATGTTCAATCGGGCCGGGTCCGGCCCGCGGGCCGTAACCATGGCATCCCTGCTCTATGAGGTTGGATTTATACCACACCAACGTCAACATGATCTGAGTAAAATCCTTCCTTTCCTCATAAATAATAACTTAATCTGTGAAAAACGACAGACACACAGTCGGGGTCAAAGGTTGCTCACCCATAGCGGTGTCGCACGACATCTCTGCTCAGCCTCTCGGCCAGGTACGCTCCAATCCTGTCCAGCTTCTCTGGAGCTGACACAGCATAGAAGGTCAGCTTCTCCATGTCAGATTTACTGAGTCCATCCTGGAGATTAAGAATAAAAAGAGAGGTCAACATTCATTTGCTTTAACTGTTAAAATATTCTGTCAATATTTGCAAAACAGAAAGAATATGTTTAGCCTGAACCCAAGATGATGCGGTCAGGTTTGTGCAACAACAAGGAGGGCATCCACAGTTGCAAAACTTTTGACAATGACAATGAATATTTTAATCAGTTTCAACTTTAACAAATGTACCTTTAAAATGAGAGTTATCAAAGTTCATGCATTAAGACATCATTTTCTAAACCCTGCTCGGTCTCTGATGGTGACATTAAAACTAACAGGAGCAGCAAATGGCCTGTGAATGTGTTTGATTTGGTTCTTCTGCTCTGATGACACGACTCAATGAAACCACCACAGATCACCGCTCAGGAAAATCAGAGACTGAAACTGCACATAATTAGAAATCATTCGAAACACAAGTCAGACTCAATCATAATAAATTCATTTACTTTTTCTCCTAATGAAAAAGGGAAGTAAATTTTCTTGGAAACTCATGGACTCAGACTGAACTTCAGCATCATTCTGCACAACAGACATGAGTGTATTGCTGCCAGGTGTCATACATAAAGAGGAGGGAGTTAATGCATCTTTCCCCTGAGTCTTTTCAGCTCCTCTGACTCTCAGCGACTGATAATTAATTTGACAAGGTCTCGACCAGTCGAGCATTTTGATTTCCCACCACACAGGTCTGCTTACGCCACAGAGAAGATGTAGGGCTGGGACGAGAAAATAAAACAAAATGCACCGTCGCATACGGGACAAACCCTGTTTAGTCTTTTAATTAACAGGGGTCAAGGAAGCGGGTGATAATAACTTGCTGTGGCCCAGTTATCAAAGCCATGTCAAATTTTTAATAACCTGATTCATTAGAGTCTGAAGCGTTCACGTGGCTAAGTGGTTGTCCAATTATTTTCTGTGTTGTGGCGGTGAGGGTCTCTGGTGGTGGAGGAGACGTTGGGTTCCAGTAGTAATCTCAACACTGTGATAACGACTGGGCACCAGACACAGTGCTGATACACTGCTGAAGGCCCAGACTGTCTCCTGCATGCTGTCAGATGTTGGAACAGATTCTCAGATATTCAGATTTACTGGGATAGACCTTCTTTCTCTTTGGTAAATGTTTTTTGGGATTTTGCCCCAGCAGAACAAAACAAAGGAGGCAGTTAGATGAACCGTTTGTCCATCAAAAACCTTTTAATCAAGATCCATTAAAACCGTAAAACTGTGGATACACATGGTCCCTAGAGGATTTACCACATTGATTTTGGTGACCACCTGACTTTTCATTAGGATCCTCCATCAGGTTAAAATTCACCCTTGAGCAATAATTTGGTTCAGAAGAAGTTTTCTCTAAAACTAAATTTGTACAACTTAATGCACTTCCAGTAACATTAAAATTCATGGTCACCAGAGTTTTTCATCCAACGGATGGATGGACTTTTTTTTACTAATCATGAAGCACTTTGTAACTGCTGTTTTATAAATAAAGTTTATTATCATTATTATTATTATCAATGTTGAAATTGATGGTCACCAGAGGATGATCCCAATGTTGAGTTTTTCATCCAACACCGACCAAAAGAAAAACTTATGTCATTTAACATACATAAGTCACTGACAATGACGTCCCACATTTCCAGATCACTGTCCTGCTCCCCAGAGGATGAACCTTTTAGAGTTTAACTACACCGTGGCCTTTTCTCTAGAGCCGTGCTCAGTTGCACTTTTTCACCCTACAAGTGGTAAAGTCCTTAAGATCAACAATGTGTTTATTATATCACTTTCAGACTGGACGTCATGAACACTGCAGCCTCGAGAGGACACTAGTGGACCTTCCATTTAATGGTAGGTACATATGTAAAAACACACTTGGTGGTTGACAAGGTGCATTTAAAATTCACACCTTATTTTGCCTGTATGTATAGCATTTGAAAAAGTTTAACTTTAATTTGAAAGATGCTATAATCAGAAAGAAATTCTACACATTGGGGGCTATACTGTCCCTGTGTCTTACTGAAGTATCTTCCATCTAACTGAGCATGTGCAGTGCCTGCAGGTACTTACTTTGGGGTCCTCAGGGAAGATGTTGTCCACCAGGCGTTTGTACCTCGGCCTCAGCGGCCCACAGCAGCCACACACTCCTGCAACAAACACCACAGACGTGACCGTTAGCAGGGGTTAGCCTCCTGACATTCTGTAAGTTAGCGGCTGTCGTCGGGTCTGAAAATCCTCCAGGAGGAAAATTCACAACAGAGAAAAAGATGCATGAAGCCTAGACACAAGAAACTAATGACTGTAGTTACTCGGCTTTACAGCATAATGGTCCTGAAAACACTAAAAAGATCTTGAATTTGCTACAAAAATGCCAAGACTTAAGATACGTGTCCTTATTTGTTATACTGGCAGTCATGGGCATTTTTGGTGAATTTCATTGAGATCTTATTTTATATTTTTGTCTTTTCTAATTTAAATTTTTCTATTTTAGGTTTTTTGTGGCAATATTCATCATTCATCCTTCCTTGGTGCAAGAACACGATGTACATTTACCACCAGTAAAACTCAAAGTCAAGCTTCCCCATGTGTGCACAGATTAGCCGAATGTTCCTTCCCGATCAGTGACTGTGACTGTCAGAGCAGTGTGTTCGGTGAAATGTCAGCGTTTTGTGTCTGGAGGAGCAGCAGACCACAACTGAAAGGTCACAGCAGCATTCAGCTCCTCTGACAGACGATCAATGAGGGGAGCCATTTAGCATCAGAGACCAAACTTCACCCAGTTCAAAACAAACATTTCAAAAGAAACACACAGAATCACAACTGGTGCCGTGATATTTACACGCTTAAATGTTTAAGATGTCAATTTATTTGGGTTAAATGAAACACTGATTTTCAGTCGATGATGTCACAAAAAAAATAAATCGACTGCTAATAAACTTAACATAACAACAATAACTAAACTGCCTCAGAGCTTCGTCTATATTTTCCTTAAAGCTCCATATCTTCCTCTTTTCCTGTGTTGTGTTTGAAGTGTTGATCCATAAGAAGATATATCAAGGTTGGATGGTGGGTCCAGGTGGGCGGGGCTTGGGGCATGGCTGAGAGCGGTGACTGCTTTGTTGTGACATCACAAAGTTCCAGAAGTCCTGACGGCTGGTTTTAAGGCTCAGTGTCTGAATACAGGCTGTGTGCATTTCTCTGTGGACTGAGGCTTTGATACTTTCACAGTATTAATATAGAACCTAGACCTGCTTTATAATCAAACAACATCTACCTTTGTATTATATGGACCTATAACTGCCACTACCTTTTGATTATTTTTATGCAGAAAACTGCAACCAGTTCATTGCAGGAACTGGTTGAACTTGCAGTGATTTTTGAAAATGCTAGATTATAAATCTCTGGATAGATCATAAATTTGTGGGATTGGAAAATGCAATATCACTTAATCATCACTAAAAAAGGATAGTCTGTTTAAACACTGCCAATGCAGTATTAAAAGTATTAAAAACATGCTGAGTAGGCTTCCCTTGCAGGTCCACAAATCCTATGTTAACTCCATTCATCATCATTACCTATAAGAGTCACCTTTACCTGCTCAGACGAAAATTAACTTTAGTGAGGTGGGGGCGTTTATTTCCCAAGAGCCAATGTTCAGACACTTTACATAGCTCCCAGTGCACCCATCACCTTACGTAGAAACCTCTCAGGCAAAGTTAGGTCACCTTAACACCTCCAGAGTTTATTTCTTAGCTGACGCGCAGCAGAGTTTGACGGCAGCCCCCAGGAGTGTGGAGATTAATCAACTTCACAAAGGCTTGTATCAACGGCTTGTCGCCAAGGCAACCTTTCCAGAGCTGTGGCTTTAAAGCGTTCATTATGGATTCTGCAATTACCTGCCACATGAGGGCACGCAGCGGCGGGGGGTGGGGGAAGCTGCAGCGCGAGTATTAGAGTGACCGGGCCGGGTTTAATGGAATTCAGCTCTGAATGTGAAGAAGGCAGAGGAACGTTCACAGGAAGTGACTGAAATGTGAGAAGGGACAACAACGAGGCTGCGGCCGGTTCACCTGACAACACGGTGTCACTTTACAGGACGACAATGAGGACACAGTCAGTGATGTGGAGCCACTGAAACCAGGTTTAGCCCTTTGGGAGCTGCAGACGTGGATGTGCTGACGTCACCAGCAAGTGAAGGAAAGTAGTACCTGCTGCAGTTTTTGAAATAATGACACCAGTAAACAAGGACTGTTACAACTACAGCTGTTTGTGAGTATTCAGCACCGATTCTTCTCCAACAGGAGATTTTCTATTTTAAACTTCACTTGAAAACTCTCATTAGGAAACAACAGCTAAGCTAGCACACAAAGTATTTATTAGTTGGTGTTATCTACTCCTTGTGATGGTTTTAAATTAAAACTAAAAAGCTTGAAACGGCAAACATGGTGATGTAGTGGCTATTTGTCTTGATACAAATTCAAAATCCAAAATAAAAATCAAAGGCCACTGATGAATCATCTTGTCCAAACAAAGCCACTGCATTTTTCTTTTGGTTGTTTTATCCAAACACGCAAACAAACAGAACAAAGGGATCATGCTTCCCGCTGTTTCTCCTGCTCTAGTAGAAAACCATAGGTACCAAGTACCCATAGTGTTACCAGAATAAACAAAATACTAGTTAAGTAAAACTAACTATTCTAAACAAGCAAATAATATAAATAAACTAATGACTATCATGAGAGAAGATAATGATAGTAATCCAAACTCAGAACAAATGCATGACTAATTAGAAAAAGCAACAAACAAACTAGTAAACGGCTCCTACAGGTAAAGCGTCAGGATAATTCAAGGATCTGAATACATCAAACAATTCATTCATTCACCATAACTAAAGTGTGATTTCAGCTGATTAGCTGCTGTTATTCTTTTTTTTTTATGCGTATCTGAATTAACTGTGGTGTGATTCTGCATGGAGGAAGTGAGTCAGTTTATTTTGAGGAACAGAAGGTTCGGTACTGGACATTTTGTTGCCATGTCGACGTCAGCCGTGTTAAACACCGATCCACACTTCTTCTTCAGCTTACGCTAATACGGATACATGTTTGCTAAAAATGCCAGCGTCCTACAGTTATTTTGTCTTACAGTGGGTGGTAGCAAATTTTGGCAAGAAAATATGGAAATCTGTTGAAGTGAGCTAATTGCTTTGTGAATTGATCCAAAATCATTATATTCTTAGATAAATGAAAAAAAAACCTACTGAACAAGTAAAAAAAAAAAAAAAGTAACTGGGGTGACCCTGGTTAATTTTATTTTAGGCCAAATTACACCAAAATTATGGAAAACTGACCTTTTTATTTACAACTCACTACCCTCACACTTGAGAAGGTAATCATGCATAAATGTAAACACACACACACACACACACACACACACACACACACACACAGCAGAGTCACAGCATGTGTGTATGTAGACGTTGAAGATGAAGTGAAAACACCTGGGTGGCTGCGGCTCCTCCTGCGCGGGGCATTCAGGGACGGCAGATGGATCGGCCCGAGGACAGAGCGGGCGGAGAGGAGGGTGATGTGACAGCTTTCTATTTTCATCCTCATTACTCTGCCTCTGATTCGCTCCTCCACAGCCACTCAGGGTGAAAAGGAATCAGCCTTAATAGGAGTTTGGTTTAAGTGTCTGAATGAGTGTGCGTGTGCAATTATGATATAATACCGCTTACTGCCTGAAGGTGAACTAAGCTTCTACATGGCGCCAAGAGAAATGGGTGAACCCATCTGGTAACCAAATGATCACATGTTTGTGTGTGTTTCCAAAGCCCAGTGTTTGGGCAGTAATGTCGCTACCATAGACTGTCGATAAAGATGGACGTAGCCTCCATGATGTCACCCACAGGTTTCTGAAGAGCGGTTTTGAAGCTCAGAGTGAGCTGCTCCACCGTCATCATCTTGGCAGTGCCTGACTCCACCCCAAACGCCGAAGTCTCAGCTTTGTGTGTGGAGCTGAGACATTACTACATGCCGGTTTGTGGAAAGCATACGCTCACCCACCGGCTATTTGTAAGTTTTCTCTGCCGCCGTACATAGTTTGTTGCCTGAGAGGGTGGTGTTGATTATCGTTTCATTTACAAGACAAGAGGGTATAATATGCCAGTGACTCAGTATTAGGAAGTGACGAGACAGGCCAGGGCTACCTCTTTAGCATGCTAACTTCAGTATAAATGGAAGCAAAACAAGAGGGTTGCTTTCCACAAATGGAAACAGCTGTTGGTGAGTAAAAGAATGATGTTTGATGCTGAGCTTGCAATGTTTCTTCTAGACTGGTAAGTAAACAGTTGCTAATGCTCATGTTAGCTATGCAGCAATAATAAAACCTAGAAATAACTACGTTGATAACATTATAGAGTTATATAAAAGTTCACCCCTCATGAAGGAGGAAATTATATATAGAGACCAAAACTGTTTTTGTACCAGGCTGTAAACATGTTTATTTCTGCTGTAAAGTTGGACATTTTAACATGGGAGTCTATGGGGACTGACTCACTGTTGGAGCCAGACTCTAGTGGTCATTAGAGGAACTGCAGTTTTTAGAACTTCAGTATTGGCTTCATTTGGACCTAATGGTCGAAGAAGTAGCACTGTTACCAGTCCAACTACATTACTCATTAGCATTATGGTAACAATGCCTATTTCTGAATCAAACAGCTTGTCAGTTAGGATGCTCTTTGATGGATCAGGTAGCGCTGTAGCGTCCACACACACTACATTTTTCCAAGCATTTCTGAAGCTTTATGTAGTATTTTCAGTTTTCTGAAAACTGAAAACACTACTTTACATGAATGGATACTGAAAATAACCATTAGCTGCAGCCCTATATTACAATTACAGTATTTTTGATCATTTTACAACGCTTTGGCTTAAAGTGTAAACCAAATGCATTTCCTATGCTCCCGAGTTGACTGCATTCAGCCTCGGTTAGTGTCTTTGTTTGTGTAGAGGCACCAGTGGAACAAAATGAATGACAGCGGCTCCAAATTACATTAAAAGCCATTCTGGCTAAGAGCATCATGGCTTCAATACTGTAGAAGAGGTGATGCATCAATTTGAGCGTCCAGCTATAGATCTGCAGAGACGGC